TCTATCTACTGAAATAGGTCAGATGAAATTAGTGGTGCAGATTTCCTCTTCTCTCAAGAATAATAAACCATTCAAATCATGGCCAAAACACTAATATACAAGTAGGAGCTTTAATGAATGTTCACATGTATGCATATATTGCATTGATTTGGACTCCTGCGGGGGAATAACTTTCGCAAAGTAATCTCTAATGATAACAATTGTAACCAATTAATTACGTAAGAAAACTATGAAATCTTCTCTTCTCAACTGTGCTTTAGAGATGAAATACCTTTAAAAAACAGCCACATAAGTCCTTGTTCATCTGGAAACAATGCATTAAAATGTTTAGCTTTTCTATGCCTTTTTTTTTTTTTTTCTCCCCCTTTAATAAAAAAGCCTCATGCTAAAAGTCTCTGAAGTCTGCTGGAGAAAGACAATTCCATGAGAAAACACTGTAAGCATAAGCATGATCTCCCACTCCCCTAACATTTCCTGTCAAAAGTCCTATACTTCTGCACAGTCAGTGACTTAAAAAAAAACCATACACAAAGTGAACAGTCAGAAGAAATAGATACTTATTAGAATTATTACTTTTATTTTTATTCACTAGAACAACATTGAGGAAAGAATTTTTACATACAGGTTTTTAAATCAACTTTACAAGCAAATTCCAATATACAGTCTTTACTCTGGCCTGGGGTGAAAAACAGAAACAAAGCAGATAGTAACAGTACCTCTTGTTTTAGCTAGTATTGAATTTACAATTTCACTGACACTGGAGTTACATTGTTTTTGTGGTGTTTTTACAATTAAATAGGCAGTGAGCAGCTTCACCACAACAGTGACTGAATTTCCTTGATAGCATAGTTGTAAGATTACTATACTGAGACCTACCACCAGGATGATGTCTCAAATCCACTCTGCTCAGAAAAAGTCACTATAAAGAAATAAGGAATAGCTACGCAATCCCAATTCAAGAACGGATTTCCATTTGTATGGCGATAAAATGTCCTTATTAAGAGGATTATGTGCTGTGTAAAACCAGAAATACTTCCCCCCCAACATGCAACCTAGAGTATGACACTTCAGAATGTGCATATGGTTGTGACATGCAAATAAGGTAAATCACGCAAATGGTATTTAGTTTTCTAGCATCATTATAACAAATGAGCATTTAGATCAAGAATGAAATTAATTTTACTGACCTATGATGCAGTCTAGTTGCTATGTCTAGTTTCACTGCTATGAAATGTAAAGTTGAGGAACTCACTTTTTTGGAACTGTACGAAAAATTCAGGGCCACTTTGGATTTTCAGGGCCTTTGTGATAATTTCCAGAAAGTCTAAGAGATTATTGCACTTTTCTCAAACAAAAAAATGTAGGCTGGGAACATTATTCTTCGAGGGCTATGGTAGTCCTAGGGAAGTGTTGCCATTGGCCTTTATCAGCAGCAGGAAGTTCAAGCTTCAGGGAAGGTAAAGGTAATAATCTGGCTGCATCATCAGTGTTAAAATTTCACCATTAAATTAAATTCATTGCACAGCAAAAACTCAGTACACTATATGAGTACTTTTAAACATATCAGAGTGCATAATCAATTCTGTGAAAGTGATGTGAAGATACCTTGGAAATAGCAACGCTATCAGGGAAATTAGTTTCAAACAAAAGCCACACACAGCAGGAGGCATCTAGATTATTTTAGGCACAACTCCAAGCAATAAAGCTCATTTAAAGTGCAATTCTGTTTTTTTCTTTTGTGTTTATTCACTTGTTAAAACGGGTAATTGCCTCTGTACAGACATACTGAACAGCAGTTTAATACTTTTGCGAATATTGCACAAAAGAATGAGAAATCAAGAACAAAAAAAATTGCAATAAACTAGTTTTAGAAGCCCTAAAAAAAAAACCGCTGGAGATATCAAATCTTTTAATTTACGCATTTAGGATAATCTGCACCAGTACAGATGATGATATATCTGCACCTTCCCTAAGGTAGATATGTTACCTGAAAATACTTACTTAATCCCATTTGACAAGCTCTACACTGTGCCCTCTTATCCATCTATCCCCAGACCCCACCTTTCACTGAAGTGAAGCTTCAAACTTCACCACTTCTCTCCCAGTTGCCCATCTCCTGATGGGCTTTGCTCATACTCTGGACTTACTATACGTGCAATAGAGCCTTCCCTGGTAAAGTCTGAAGAGCCAAAAGATGTAGTTGCCTTTAGAGGAATGCAAGGTTAGCAGCTGAATATAAATACAATTCAGGCTAGCATGTGTCCCATCTGTGATCAAATCCTGCTGTCTTCAGCTCCATGTCCCACTAATCTGTCAGGACAAAATGGAGAAATGCTATAACAAAGAATATAATCTACCTACGCTCCTTTAACACAGGAACCCCTCCCCCCAATAAATATATTTTTGTTCTTCTAGGAAACAAAATAATTAAGAGCTATCTTTTTTATGAAACCCCTGATCATGTCTTTGTTTCATTACTTAATTTTCAGTAAAGGTGCAGATAGATAATAACTATACTTTTAAATGTAAACATAAAAATTTTAACATCACTAAATCAGGCTGGTGATACCTCCAGGATAAGAAGCAAAAGAACTCATGGTGAGATATCTGTGTCAATAGCATTAAGTGAAAACCACCTTTTTACACAAAATCATACACAACTAAAAATAAAATCAGTTTTTCTTCAAGGAAAGTAAACTTAAAAAAACCACCTTCCATAGAAATCTATACAGACCAGAAAACAAACTAGGAATCTGATCATTCCCTCAGCAGTAATTAAACTCCTGAGAAACACAGCTGTCAAGAGCTAGTTTTGGGAAATATAAAAAGTCAATTTTATTTTCTTATCAAAAGTAAATGCTTACACTGAAGGCCATCTAATTCAATGCTTTTCAAGGAAAAAAAAATTTTTCCCAGAGAGTAATTGTTACAGTAATTTTGAATTGTAGTTATTTTGATCTTGTATCAACTGTAACAATTAATGTTACCTTTGTTACTTCTTCCTTACATTGTCTTCGCCCCAGTTAACAGGAAGTCCTGCAGGTCTCTTAATTCAGATTGATATAAGCAGTTCTGAAATAGAACCTCCTCCCTAACCCTTTCCCCCTCCTAAGCTTTTAATTTTTCCACTTCACTGACAGTTAAAAGAACTTACAGTGTGACAGACAAAAAAAAAAAAACCATAAAAACACAAAAAACCCAAACAAACAAAAAAACAAACTAACAGAAAAAAAAAACCCCAAACTTTCTTGGACATTATGCACTGAAAAATTCAAGTGAGATTATTTTTTTTCCTTCCCCTATCCAGCCAAGGTATCCACCATGATGACCCTAGTTCAAGGGCTTATATTGCAAAAGTTGATTATTGAACTTTTTAAATATCTATACTTATTCACTTTCATTCTCTCAAAGAAAATACTGTAAGATGTCAATGTTCTAAATACTATGTTTCATTTTAATGAAATTATATGTTGTTCAGGAACAGATTTTGAGCAAAGTAATTGTAACTGCCTTCTGCTGATTTTAAAACCAATTCAAGAACAGAAAAAAAAACCAAACCCAACCAACAAATATTAACATCCAAGAGACAGTGATGGGAAAGAAGGGAAGAACTGGAGCTGGGACGTAACATTAATTTTCTGTAAAGCTTCACTGGATATGCAAACATTTAACTCACAACACATGTCATGGTCCCATAGTTGCACCATGATGGGCATATATTTCCAGACCACTTTCAGAAAAAAATACTTCTCCTAGAGAGCAGATTTTTTCTTTATTTCCCCAAAAAGTTCCTTCCCAGTTATCATGCACTTCTTTAGAAATTACACAAAAAAAACCCAAAAAAAACAAAAAAACAAAACAAAAAAAACCCAAAACAAAAATACACATCTCTGAAAAACTCTTAAGAGTACCAGCTCTGGATTAGGACATAATAGGATTGCTCAAAGCAAGTGGGGTTAATTAATTTTTTTCTTAAAAAATAGTTGCTTTTTAAATACAAGTTTTATTCTGTAAAATAGTTTCAAATCCTTATACATATGGCAAAGTTTGTGCAAAATTTCAAGTCAGGTACTTCAGAGTCTTTCAATATTAAACAGAAATCAATAAATACAAGTACTACAATAAAAGTTAAAAACTATTAATTAAAATGCATGTTGTGCAACGACAACATGGGTGTTATGGACCCCTTATTCCCAGAGGCTCCCTACTTACCAATCCATAAGAGCCTGTATTGGAAGGTTTTGCACAAGTATCCTTAGCACTGCGTTTCAAGAATCTAACCAGTAACGTGTCTATTCAACACAATAAAAACCTACCACAATCTTTTAACAAATGATGATGTTTGAAGAGAGCTTTGTTTCACCCTGTGAAATCTGCTTATTGTCTGTGAACAGTGAAAATGGGATAAATAAAGAACAGAGCAACTTCAGATTACAGCAAAACAAAACAACACAACTCACCCAACCCATCAGATTAAATAACATTAAATATGTCAGTCTTCAGATAATGATAAATACAAGGATTTTTGCATAGGCCTCTGGAATACAGAGTCAGAATTATGGCCAGTAAAACATCTGCTAGTAAGTCTAATTTTCCACCACTCTAACCTAGTGAGTACTCAGAAATCAAGAAGTTAAACTGAGTAGTAATTTCATTGTCTAGTAACTCAAATAAACAGAGGTAAGAAATTATTTCTGCTATCCTGAAATACATAGTGCAGCATTCTAGTATTCATGGTCACCACAGACTTCAGTACTTGCTTAATTACTGAGATCACTGGGCAACACAACCTTTAGTACAGACCTACAATATAATAAAACACTCGAGAGAAGCTGCACAGCTCATGAGTCACAGAACATAACAGGATGGAATACGCAAACACTGAAGATGTTATTTTTAATATTCACTCAGGATTTGCAAGCTGTAGATAAAGCAGCCTCAAAGGCAGGTAATACATTAGTTTAATGTATGGCATCATTCAATGAGATGTAGGTAGGTTCTCAATGTGTCTTTGGTTTAGGGAGGCGGGAAAGCCGATTAGAGGGCAGACTATCCCCAGAATGCAAACCAGCATTCTGTGCTTGCATGTTTTCCTTTCTCTGTACCAGTGGCTTCGGGATGTTAGTCTTCAAACAGGTGTTCTGAGGTTCTACAGGTACTGGTGTGGATTTTTGACTGCTCATTTGCTTAGATTTAACAAAGGACACAGTTGGTGGGCGAAGTTTAGACACTTTCTGACTCTGTTTACCCTTTAGGTTATCCTGACCAGATGTCGGCTGTAGTTGCGTCGAACTACTTGATGGTGGAAGCTCACGTTCCTTGGAAGCAGCGGAATGATTTGCAGATCGTGCGAGAACGGCCATTGTAGGAGGCACTAAAGCATTTGGGGGCTTTACGAATCTTAAAGTCTTTGGCCGAGAAGCCTGGTTTGGGAATGAGGGTTGACCTTTCACAGCTAATTCAGTTTGCACCTCTCTAGCATCAGCTTGTGTAGAACGAGATGGTAATGTACCTTCTTTGTTATTAGCTAACTCTCCAGGGTCTTCAGTATTTTTAATTTTCAATTTTTCCAAATATGATGCGTTCTCATCTTTTATGTTTAACTGTATGCTCATTAAAGAGTTTACATCATTCAGGCTATTTATGAGAGAGACATTTGCAGCATTTTGATTCTGATGATTGCTATTTTCATGCAGACCATGTTTAGGATATTCACTGTGGGCCTCGATATGTGGCATTTTTATTAGTTTTCCCTGGGCGAGGTCTGTGGAACTGGGAAGGCTGCTGGAAGGCTGTAGTACTTGAGGCTGTTAAAGAGAAAAAAATATAATAATATATTAGGCAAAGAAAACACCAGATAACATTCTGAATCCAACGTGCGCTGGCTGGATGCTTGAAAAGGGCTGTATATCCGGGTTTTTAAAAATCAAAACTTTGACTCTGGCAAAACAGGATGGTTCATGGGACGTATACAAATGTAACTTGTAACTTAAGCAGAAAAAATTATACCACCACTGAAATACATAAACACAAAAAAGAAACCAATTAGCTTAAAGAAACATGAAAAAGGCATGGTTGATGGTTTCACCTAAATCTGCAGGACAGCCTAAGAATGGCATATGCGTACTGATCAATTTTGATTCAAGTGTTTAATGAACAAATGCAACAGCCAAACTGTATCCATCTTGTAATTTCTATTCACTGCATACTCAAGTTAATGATCCTAAACCTTTTCTCAGTGTTATATACTATACAGGCGGGAAAGGAATTTAATGGACCACATGAATTTACAGTGCATTTTCCTTGCCTTACTGAGGCCCAAAAATTTGATGCAGGTATATGTAGCAATTAGGTTAGTGACCAGACTTGGGTAACCGTTTTACCTGGAATGGAATTCAAATGGGCTGATAAACCATCTTCAATAAAGCAGTACAACAGACTACATGTGATGTTAGAGATCATATACCACTACACTGATAACCAAGGGATAAAGAAAACTTAACGAAGATTTTACATTTTATCAGAAGATATAATCCGATCAGACAAGAGAATTGCCAGTACCTCTTCTGGGTCATTTCTATTTTCTCTTTGCTCTTCCCTGTAAAACAACTTTAAAGATGAATGCATGCGCTAGCTTCACAAACACATCCTAGACTTGCAACCTGTATACAGATCTTGGAAGAATTATTATAAACTCCACAATTCATGGTAAAACCCAAAACCTATTAAACCTTAGACTATCATTATAGTAAGTTTCAGGTTTGGATGATTTTCTCTCTCTTTATAAAGGAGAACTGAACTACTACAAGCTAGTCCTATCTCTAAACTACTTTAATTCTTACCAATTGATAGATTGCACGAACATGGTAAACAGGTCTGTAGTATTTGTTTCCTAGTGAAATATAGTCAGTAAAAGAGAAGCAATGGCTGTCTTCAAGGGATTTGACTAAAAATGTCACTACAGTCACTCTCTTGAATTATTCACAACTTCTAAATGAGAAAGCCAATTATCTATCTGGTCTTTTTAGCTCTTCTTAGAATCAGCAGTAACAATGCAATGATAGCTGTGCATGGCAAGGTCCCATTACATTTCTAGGACGATAGCATGTCTAGGGATTCTTTAAGTTTTTCATCTTTTCCCTGTCAGGATTACTATTGACAACTGTATTCTTAGAACTCCTCATCAAGAAAATTTTAATGGTAATGAGAGACATACTAAGATTTCTCAACCTAATTTTGATTTACCAGCATTTTTTTCCCTTTAGAATATACTGGTTTGACCTGTCAGCAAAGGTAACATCCAAGCTTGACAGTCTGAATACAATTGTTTTGGAAAGAGGGAGGAGGAGGAGAAAAAAAAAAAAAAAGCCTTCACAATGGTGTAAAAGGAGTATCAAAACATTTTTCCTTATGCGACTAAAACAAGCATAACTTTGTGAATCCGTCTTAACCAAGCAATCCTACAGGAAAGAAATACTAAACACAATCCAATGTATTAAGAGAGCTACAACTTAAAAAAAAAACCAAAACAAAACAAAAACAAGCTTAAAAAAAACCAAAAAAAAAACAAAAAAACAAATACTTCAACAAATAATTCAAATTTTCTAATCCTACCTGAAGTCAATACTTCAACAAAAAATTCAAATTTTCTAATCCTACCTGAAGTCAAAAATTAGCATGTTTATAGCAAACAGTATTGAGTCAAACTCTAACATGTAAAAATAATTGTTGGAAAAAAATTTCCCCTCACCTAGAAAGGGTTTCTAAATGCCAGGCTTCAAAAATGCAGATAGATATCTAATCTGAGCATTACAAATCCTAACTTTATATCAAATAATCTTGGTTACACTCATTAGCAAAATGCATAATTTGTAAGTTACAGAAGAAGCTAAATTTGTATGGAAAGTTGAGTTAAACACAAAAACTTCTGAAATACAACAAAACAGCAAGTTTTCGATAAAGCTAGATTGAGTTCTTTTGACAAAAACTAAGTAATATTTGAGCTTTTCCATTTGGAGAGTTTTGCATTTTTACATATGAAAATATGTATTTTCCTCATTATTCTTCAAAAGCTAAAGAGGTTTAAGCAACTTCATAGTCTAAGCACCTTAATATCCAGGAAGTTAGCAATTCAAAGGTAGAAAACAGCTACATGCTTGGAACTATGAGGACACTAAGCTATGGTATCATTTTTGCTAGGTTGTTTTAAATATTGTACTGTTTTCTAATTTTGCATTTCTACTTAGTCAAACTCTGCCCAATTATCATGATTATATATTTTAATCTCTTCAAACTGCTGCATGTATTAACATTCAAGATGATACTGAAAGCAGAAAACCACCACTTCCAAAATATGCAAGTAACAGTTCACTAGGTACCTAACACTGAAAACTGCATTATCTTCACCTACAGCTTAATTCTTTGCCTTACACACACGTTTTCCATTTACTAGGGAAGTCTTAATAAATTATGACCATGTTATTAGTCAATAAAACAGCAAGCAGAAGGACTAATACTTGATTTCCATCACAAGAAGGAGGTGGAATAAAAAGATGAAGAAGCATTCCACGTTCTAGGAACAGTAGTTTATTTCATGGAAGTCTTTAAGAAGTTTGTCATCTGTATTGCTTTGAGTGCATTTTTGATAATAATTCAGGGTGGGACAGAGCATGACTTGGTGTAGACTGCCATGCTAACCAGACTTCCATTTTCATGCCATAAACAAAGTATTCAGGTGGATAAACATCTGCATTCCTTTGGGATGCTGCTAAAATGTAAAGTTGGACTCTAAAACACCTCTAGTATAATGCAAACATAGAGAATTAGTCCTCCCCAAAATGAAAGCACCTTAGACAAAATGTTCCTGTTTGCACAGACTTCCCTACCAGCAACAGCTTCAAAGACTTGCATTGATTGATGCACCAATCAAAATGACTAAATTACAGTTCCTACCACATTAATTTAAGAGATTCTTCTCTTGTTTCTGTCCAATAAATCTGGCTGTTACATCATCCAGAGAAAAATGACACCATATACACAAAGAGGATTAACATTACTACACAGTTTTTGAACCACTATGATACCCTTAGCTTTGTGTTGGAAAACTGAGACAAGAATGTTATACTGATAAGGAAGTCAAATCAATATGGTCATGACATAATATTCATTGCAACATCACTACTCTGAAATTCCCTTCAGTTTTGCTTTGGTTATTCTGTGTCTGCAATCTCAACCCTCATCTCTATTCTCTATATAACACCTCTGTAGAATAAAATAAAGATATTTTCTCTCTGCAGTATTTTGAGGAACGAAGGAAGTGAAGCAATGAGAAATCTGAGAACTGCATGCACATCTCTGATAGACATGCATCATGCATAGGGCAAAAAAAAAACCAACAGTGAAAATGCGTGAGGAGAAGATGGGAAGAAATCTGAAGTTGTACTGTACCACGCTTTATCACAGAAGTAATGGACTAACTTCTCAACTCCTTGCCAATGGCATAATGGGAAAGCAGAGACAAGAAAAAGACAAGGACAATGATGTCAGAAGACCAAGACAAAACAATGAGCAATTGCCATGACAGAACTGCAACTTTTCACCATTTAAATTGCAATTACCATGTCCCCCATTAATTTTTAATCCACTTTCCAGAAACAAAGGTAGCAAGAGTGTTTCAGTAATGCAGTATAAATAATATTTATCCCAAGACCTGCATGGAATACCTTTGCTCTTATAAACTGACATCTTTTAAGGCAGTTAATCTCTTACACTTCAATTATCATTCAGAGTTTTAACTAGAATGTGTGTATGATAACTGTATACATAAAAAATATTTGCATCCACACACATACATGTTAGATATCTAACAGCGAACAACAACGTCATAAGATAGACTGTATTACATATTTTGACCATGTTGCCCATGCTCTTTAATAACTCATCTTCTAGCAACTCACTCACGAGCTTGAAGAGACTCCGAACTACCACGGTTTCTTTTTGGAGGGAGGCAAGGAGGAAGGGACACAAACCCTGCCAGAGAAGCTTTTCATTTTCTGATCAGTTCTGATATCCCCTATCTCACTGCCTTGGCACAGGATAAGCTGTTATTTCACAGGTCTTTATTTGAAGACACAGCCTTGCTAAAAGACTACCCAGAAGGCTTGCATTTTCTACCTCTGGAAAACATCAAGATTTCACACCTTAAATCTGCAGCATTTGCCAATACCTTCAGTTTGGATTTTTTTTTTTTTTCTTCTCCCATTTAGTTATTTATTTTATACTCATATTTCAACATTGTAATAAAGCATTCCACAGTGTGGAAATATATATATATTCAAATGTATCAGTATATTCAAATACTGATACCAAACAACCCTAATTTATTCTTTTTTTAAACCACCATTCACCAAAGCACAGGGATAGTAAAATAACTGGCAATATGGCATAGCACTATTTTCTCTTTGCAGTCTGTATAAAAACCCTAACTTTCTTAAATAAACTACATGTAACTACACCAACGCAAGCATTTCACCCATAAATACAGATATATGTGCAACAAACAGACAAATATGATCACATGTAAAATTAAGTTTTGTTTGCAAATATATACTTAAGTTAGATAAAAGAGACATTTCTCCTGTAGTCCAGCCTGCAACCACCCAAATTGGGAGAAGGGAGTTTTTATTAAGACATTTCTTCATATAGCTAAACACTAATGTCTCAGAGCAAAATTAAACACGTACAAAGGACAGTAATGTAAAGGTTCCAAGACATTTTTAAAAATTTGTCACTCTCAACATGAATCGTAGAACTTCCAATATAATATTCTGATAGTAACTTTGTTCTGTTAACACCAACACTTTGCACACCTTATAAAGAACCACAATTAGTCAATAAAGGTTTGGAAACATTTCATAGTGTTAAGCAATGTAACCTTGTTTATATTCAATGTGCATACAGCAGCTTTCTTGCTGGTGATAAAGCTATATGTCACCTGCTAGAATTGCTTTATTTGTAATGCTTACATACAAAAAGTCTAAACACTTTCACCATGAAGTGCACAGTAAGCAGAGATGTGAACAACTACAATGCCTAAGTAACAAAACAGTTTTCATCTGCATTTCTGTGTGGAGAAGTGCTAGGGGCCTAGAGAAAGCGGTATCACATTCTTGTATTACATGACTGGCTCTCTGACAATGTGTATTGTAAATGCTGTGTTTCTAGAGCTGCATCATTAAAGCTCCAGAATACAAATGCAAGTGTTTTAAATTGTATTGAAGACAGTCTGCTATATCAACAAATTATATTCTATTATAAAGAGAGAAAATAAAGGATCATTACATAAGAATTGAGTTCAAGACACATATTTGAGCTACAGGAATAAGAAACATACAATTTTGTTCATAAAATGCCAAAAATCAACATACTACTGGGAAAGTGTTTATAGAACATAAAATGATTAATTGTTTCCAAGTCTGTTGAAACAACACAAGGTTAATAATTGGGAAACTATTAAAAATTCATTCTCATTAAAAGCGCAAATCATACATCCAATTCTAAAGCATGTTAACGAAGTGGAGTGCTATGGTAAGTTCTTAGGGCAAATTAAACAGTAGGCACACTAACCT